CCCACACTCTATATCAGGGAAGGGCTAGTATTTTTCACAGGTTGCTGAGAGATAATAATTAAACATGAACTATAGGTACTTCGTGAATATTTTAGAGCAAAGGTCTTCCTGGAGGGAAAGCACATCTTTTTAAAGTTATCCACTCCCAAGCTTGGTAGCCAGCTGGCTCCTCTCTCTCCTGCACCCCACGTCACAGCTGTCACTGCAGGACCTCGAGTTGGGCTCGGCTCTCGGACAATGAGGCCAGGCTCAGAGAGCCAAGCGGCACAGATATCCAGAGCTGCAGACACTTTCCAGCCACACATTTTCATCCATGGGAAGATGAGTCAACAAGCAATGAGTGCGCCCCACAGATCGTACCTGAGTATCGTTCTGAAAAAAGAAGTGTAAGTTCATTTGGCCACTTAAGATTCTTTTAAACTTGTATGATATTATTCACTGGCTCAACAGAGTCATGAAATCTGAACATAATTTCATGAAGGATTTTGTGGCTGGCTTGCCCTGAAAAGGGGGATTGTGTTGTCTTCCAGAGCATAAGAAATTTTAGTCCTGTTTTGTATATATGTATTTTCCTGAAGCATCAAGGTTATTTCTTCAAGTCCAGAGAGCTGGACTCTAGTTGTAGCTGGTTATGGATAGTGGCTTGGTCTCACTTGGGATACCTCAGCTTCCTCATCAGTAATTGAGAATAAAACCTGCCTTAATTCCTTCTTAGAGGAAAAAAACAAGATGATGGATGGGATCACACTCAGAAAAAACCACACACATGCAAATTTCCTGATAATTTTAGTGTCCACTGGAGCTGATACACTTTCAGGAACAATGAATGAATGGAACCAAGGGAAGGTAAGAATTGCAGGAAGGTCCTTACAATCAAGGAGTAGCCAAAGCAAAGGTAAAAAATTCTACATGAATTCTACAGAGACAAAGAGAGAAGATTCAAGTATGGGGCTCTGAGCAGGCTTCGTGAACCAGGTACATCCTGAGCTGGATGTAAAGGGCAGCCCTAAACATAACCAACATTCACTAAATCCTCCTTTTAACAAGCTTACTTGACTATTTCATCTAATGTTCACCAAAACTTTATGCAGCAAATATCATTATCATCTTAATTTACCAGTAAGTTAATTTGCCAAAGATCCCACTGGCAATCGATTGTAATAGCGCACACTCTCATCACAACTGCCCTGTAACACTCAAAGGGTAGAAATGACAGATACAGAGCAACAGGAGAAGTGAGTCAGTGGGAAATCAAAGAAGAGATACACAAAGAGAGATGGGCACCATATTCACAGACTGAAGGACTCAATATTGTTAAGAGATTGGTTACTCCCAAACTGATCTATAGATTCAACATACTCCCAGATTGCACAGGAAATGATAATCCAATTTCAAAGTTTTATAAAGAATACAAGACTCTAGAATAGCCAGAGCTATGTTTAAAAAGAAGAGCAAAGTTGAAGGACTGACATTACTGAACTTCAAAACTACGTTAATCAAAACTGCTATTGGCATTAGGACAGATAAATAGATAAATAAAGCAGACTAGAGAACCCAGGAACTTGAATTTTACAATCAACTTGACTTTTGACAAATTAACTAATGCAATCTAAGGCTCTTCATTGTATGGTACTAGAACATCCATAAAGAGAAAAACAAACTAGGACTCCTACCTCGTACCATACAGAAAAATTAATTCATATATGTCACGAACCTACAGCTAAAAGGAGAATACTTTTAGAGAAAAAAAATACCCTCATAACTTAGAAGTAGGTAAAGATTTCTGAAACAAACAAAGCAATAGAAAGAAGAGAAAAAAAATCATCAAAATGAAAAATTTCTGCTTAATGAAGAACACTCTTAGAAATATGAATCAATAAGCTATTTTTGAGAGACAATATTTACAAAAGTTCTATCTAATGATGGTCTGATATTCACAGTAGGAAAAGAACTTCAACTCATTAATAAAAAGATAAACAATCCAACTCTTAAAATTGGCAAAACATTTAACAGATACTTCACAAAGGGAGATACATAAATGACCAATAAGGATATAGAAAGTGTCTAATTTTTCTAGTCTTAACTAGTCTTAGGGAAATTCAAATTCAAATCACAGTAATAAATGTATAACTCACCACAATGGCCAAAATAAAAAAGATGCACAACACCAAATGTTGACAAGAATGAACAGTAACTCTAACTCTCATCCATTGTTAGTGGTAGCACAAAATGGAACTACTTTGGGCAAAGATCTAACAACTCCTTACAAAATTAAACATATACCTATACCATGATCTAGCCATTCTGCCTATAGGTATAACACAGAGAAATGTTATACTCAACAGTAATATGAAGGAACAAAAAAATAGTAATATATACAACAACATAAATGAATCTCATAAATTTTACGCTGCGTGAAAGAAGCATTATACAAGAGTACATACTGTGTGGTTTCATTTATATAAAATTCTGTAATAGGCAAATTAACCTATAGTGGAAAAGAAAGAGACCATTAGTTGCCTCTAAGGGGCTAGGAAGAAGAGGTTGTATCTGACTAAAATGGGAAATCAGGAAACTCTGGGGAGATGGCAATATTCTATATCATGGTAAGAGTTTAGGTTGCACAAGTATATGGATTTGTCAAAACTCACAAATGGTACATTTCAGATCAGTACATTTCACCATAAGTAAAATACATAAACAAATACTGAATTCAAATTAAAGAATCTAGTCGGTGGGTATTTTGATATTCTTTCAACTTGTGTTTGAAATGTGTCATAATAAAACATTGAGAACATGAGTTCCCGGAACTGGATGTTAGTTATGTACAGTAGAAAAGATACATCTTGTACTAAATATTCTACACCTAAGCATCACTGAAGTTTTTTTTAAGATTGTGCATTTTAAATACCAATTCTGAATAAATTTCCCACATATCTGATTCTTCTAGCTCCTCAGAGGTGCTTTAACTATTCTGTTCATTTTCCCTGTAGGTCTAACAATCTCTGTTCTCAGAATTATCAGGTAAAGGACCTTTGCAAGGTCCTTTTGCAAAATTTCACATAGTAGCAATGATGTCTCTGAGGAAGAGTAGTAGAAAAAGCACTAAATTGGGATAAGGCTCCTATTCATGAATTGAAAGACTTAATAGTATTAAAAATGGCAAGAATCCCCAAAAGGATCTACAGATTCAACACAAAACTATCAAAATTCCAATTTCCCTTGCAGAAATGGGCAAGCTTATGCTAAGTTTTACATGGAATCTCAAGGGATCCCAAAGAGACAAAACAATCTTGAAGGATTGTTCAATATAGTTGAAGGACTCACACTTTCTGATTTCATAACTTACTGCAAAGCTATAGTAATCAAGAAAGTAAGGTAAAGGTATAAAAACCAGATACATAGCTCTATGGAATGGAATTAAGAGTCCAGAAATAAACCTCAGAGCTACGATCTATTGAATTTTGACAACACTATTCAGTGGGGGAAAAAAGTAATAATCTTTTCAACTAAAAGTGTTGGGGCAAATGGATATTCACAAGCAAAAGATTAAATCATACCCTTATCTCATACCATACATAAAAATTAACTCAAAATGGATCAAAGCATCAATTATAAAAATTCTTTGCAAAATCAGGCATATAAATCATCAAGATTTTGGATTAAGCAATAGTTTCTTAACTATGACATCAAAAGCACAAGCAAGAAAAGAGAAAACAGACAAACTAGACAAAATCAAAATTAAATCTTTTGTGTTTTAAGAAAGTGAAGTCAACCCACAGAATTATAGAAAATAACTGCAACTCATCTATCTGATAAGGCACTTGTGCCTGTGTTACATAAAGAACTATTACAACTCAATAATAAAAAGATAAACAACTCAATCTTAAAATGGGCAAGAAACTCAACAGACATTTCTCCAAAGGAAAGTAAAACACAACGAGATACAATTTCACACACTACTATGGCTATAATCAAAAAGATAGATACTAAGAAGTGTTGGCAAAGATCTGAAGAAATGGAAACCCTTGTAAACTGCTGGTGGGGATGTAAAACGCTGTGGCCACTATTCAGCAAAGAGTCTAGCAGATCTTCAAATGGTTAAATATGGAGTTGAACATATGATCTGGCAATTCCACTTCAAGATGTATACTCAAAAGAAAGGAAAACACTTTTCCATACAAAAACTTATACATAAATGCTGACAGCAGCATTATTCACAATAGCCCTCAAATAGAAATGATCCATATGTTTGTCAACTGGTGAGTGGATAAATAAAACATGGTGTATCCATACAGTGGGTATTATTCTGCAATAAAAAGAAATGAAGTACTAAAAATGCTACAGTATGGGTTGAACCTAGAAAGTTTCTGGTCCATAAGGGAAGCCAGCCCCAAGAGACCACATACTGTGTGGTTTCATTCATACGTAATGTCCAAAACAGACAAATACAGAGACAGAAAATAGATGAATGGTGGCCTAGGGCTGGAGGGGCTGAGAGGATGGTGGTATAAGAAGAGTTAAGGTTCTTTTTAAGATAAAGAAAACATTTCAAAAGTGATGATCAGATGAATGCACAATTCTGTGAATATACTAAACTCACCTACCTGGACACTTTAAATGGGTGAATTGCAGGGTGTGTGACTTATATCTCAATAAAGCTGCCTGATGGGGAGAAAAAGGAGTCCTTATGATTGGGAATGTCAGCCTCTACCTTGGTAGGCGCAGAGAAAGCGATGCACAGATAAAGGACAGCACCTCTCTTCTCCAGGGATGGCTCTTGCTGCTTCAGTCAAAACCTAGCCACGTGTGGCTACGGAGCATGTGACCACAGCATGTCCAAGTTGGGATGTGCTCCAGTGTAAAATGGACACTGGATTTCAATGACTCAGTCAACACCCAAAGAAAATAGCTCATTAATAATTATTTTTATTTAATAACACACTGAACTGGTATTCTGGGTGAAACTGAATGTATCATTCAAATTCATTTCACCCATGTTTTTCAGTGTTGTGAACATAGTTCTAGAAAATTTTCAATGACCTCTGTGGCTCCCCTTATATTTTTACTGGATAGTGCAAGTTTCAGTTCTTTAATATAAATAAATGCCTGAAACATTCCTGATTCCCCAGTGTTGCATAGGATTATTTTATTCAGAGTTCTCAATGGTAATTAACTTTGAAGTCCACTCAGCAGTTATAAAATGCCTGCTGCTCTTCAATTATGGAGGCACAAAAGGTTCCTTGTTTGCTGGTCTCTGCCAACTGGTTCCTTGGACTGGAGATGATGATCCCCGGCACGGCCTCTTAAATATTGGCGTGTCTGAATCTTCACAAAGCACAAATGTTTCCCAAATAAGGCAGGCCCAGAAAACTTTGACTGAACTCTGGAGGGCTCATGATGAAAGGAGTTGCCTTTTGAAAATAATTAAAGATCAAATGGAGATGACAGACCAGTTTTCCCAGAAACAAAACTTCTTCTCAGTAGGCTTTCATCCAGAAGGGGGCTTTGTATGTCATCTGTGAGGGTTTCCCCTGCATCCCTACTTATGAACCCCAAATTGCTTAGGGGGAGCTTTTTGCTTCTCTTTCCCCTGGTGGATCCATGTGTCCAGGGCCATAAAATTCAACCTTGGGTCTGTCCGAGTCCACAGCTAATGCCCTTAAAAAGCATGGGGCTAGTGTGTCATCTTTCTTTCCTTCCATAAATACTAGTCCCTGATGAGTGCTGTGGGAATAGAAGGCAGGGGTGATTAAAAAAAGAATATATATATATATATATATATATATATATATGAATTAGAATGCTGCCTCCTCAAATGAGATATTCTTAAATTTCTCCCCTACATTTGTTTGAATCTCTAGTAAACTGAAATAGTGAAATAGAACAGTTTCATAGGCTTAATTGCCTCCGTTCTGTGCATTATGGAAGCAGAGACAAACTATCTCAGGTCCTTAATTGCTCCTGGGCAAGCAATGAGTAGAAATAAGGATCTGGGCACTCAGCTCCCTGCCCTGTCACATCAGGCCCGTCTCTTCCGCAGCTCCACAGGAGAGCACACCATGTACCTCGCTGCACCTAGCACAAAGGGCAGGTCACATGTCGTGCCGGGCAGAGAGGATATGCCAAGAAGAACGTGCCACAATCTCTGCCCTCTGCAGTGCCCCTCGGCGAGTACCTATCAACTGATACTGAAGGGCCTGTGTTTGGGGCAAAGTGTGCTGCAAAGAATAAAGCTCATTTCTGGAGCTGGTTTGTGGCTTGAGATGTCTTCAAATTTCAGCCGTTGTTACAAAATGTACTTGGACTTAGACTTTCCTAAGAACTGGCTGTGACGTGGCTATTTCCAGAAAAGTTTCATCAGGGCTTGGGTAATCAAAGCCCTCATTTTCCACTCTCCTCCCACTACTCCCATTACCTCCCAGGACAGGTAGTCAGCATGCAATTGACTGGCTTAGAAAGCCCTGGGTGGTATGATTGGGAAAGTTAAGGGAATTATGATGAAAATGGCATTGCAGACCAACAAAAGTCTGGAAGCCTTTGGGAAAGAAGTTTAAAGGTATCTCAATCATCTCCAGCTGAGGACACCTAGGAGGCCTGGAAAATTCCAAAGAAGGGAGCAGCGTACCAGCCCTCTCTCTCAAGCTACAGTGAGTGGGCAGAATAATGCCCCCCCAACCCCCCAAATGCCATGTCCTAGTTCCTGGAACCTGTGACTATGTTGTCTTACATAGCAAAAAGGAATTTGCCAATGTCATTAAATTATGGACCTTGACCTGGGGAGATGTTCTGAATTATCTGGTGGGTCCAAGCCAATTACATGAATCCCCAAATGTGGAGAACATTTTCCTAGAGAGATGTCTGGTCAGAGCAAGGGTCAAAGAGATGCTATGTTACTATTTTAAAGATGGAGGAAAGGGTCCAGGAGCCAAGAAATGCAGGTGACCTTTAGAAGTTGGAAAAGGCAAGGAAATGGATTCTCGCTGAGACACACCAGAAAGGTCACAGCCCTGCTGCCACCCATTTTAGCCCAATGAAACTGAAATACTGGACTTATGACCTATAGAACTGCCAGATAATCCACTGGTGTTGGTTAAGCCACTACATGTAAGGTAATCTGTTAAAGCAGCAATGGAAAATGAATATACTGGTAATAGATAAACAAAGGGTCATCAGGCAATGGGACCAAGTGACCAGGGCAGTGATGACAGAGTCAAAACAGCTGATTAGCCAACTAGTCAATTTTGTCTCAAAGAAAGCTCAAGTATTTCTATTTCGTAGTCTAAGGTGGAATTGCCAGTACAAATTGCAAAATTGCATCAAAGCACATTAGTTATAAAGGAGTCAATACTCTAAATTGATACCATGGGCCCCTCATGGGCCTACAGAATCCTCAGTTCTGATCCATCGAGGACAAACAATAGGGTCAGACAGATACGATGGTCCCATATGGAAGGAAATAGGACAACAGAAGGGCAGTGAACTCAGTGTCTTGTTCCTAAGACAATGACGCTCCCCAGCCTCCTAAGTTGCTGCACAATGTTTTCAATAAGGACGGCTACTTAGAGTAACTCCTGAAGATGAGGAGGTGGCTCCTCTCCTAGCTTAAAGTACAGATCCATGAAGCCTCTACATAGACAATCAGCTGTAGGATAGCCCCTCACCCCATATGTACACAAAGTAAGCAAATACATCAGTGCCTAAAACAGCTGGCTCTCATGATGGCAGGCGGGATAGATGGACAGATCAACTTCCTCCTTATTCTTTTTTTCTAGGGGACAAGAAGATTGTTAATCTTAATCAGTTCTTTCTGATGCAAATCTATGTGTTGGAGGGAAATCCATGTGCAACAATACAGTGTCCTATATCCCTACCTCACACCCCTTGGGAGACAGTTCTTAACCTAGACTCCTCTGGAGATCTAAAACCAAGCCCCAACTGTGTCTTTGACCCAGAATTCCCTAGGAACTTCTTTTGGCCATGTTCTTCTTTCCCAAACCATCCATTCATAAGCAGAGTCACTCACCCATCTGACAGTTTTCTGGAGGTCTCAGTCAGTATTTAATATCATCAATCCAAAGGGCAACATCAAGCTGCAAATAGATTGAGTGAGGACCTATAAACCTGTCTAAAGCATAACATCGAGGGCCTCCCCAGTGGCGCAGCGGTTGAGTGTTGAGTTGGGAAGCTGCCCGCAGCCTCTGCAGCGCTGGTTCGATCCCCAGCTGCTCCCCGGCCACTGGAGGAGGGTCCCACGTGGCGCACAGACCTCTCCTGCCGCCCGCTGCTCCCCTCAGCAGTGTACTTCGGTCCTTCTGCCTGCTCTGCTCCCTGCTCTGGCTCTGGTGAATTCTCTCACCCTTCCACACTTCTGACTGTACTCAGTGCTTGTATAAATAAATAAATACATAAGTAAATAAATCTAAAAAAAAAAAAAACTTAGAGAAAAAATAAATAAATAAAGCATAACATTGAACCAAAGGGATTCCTGACACATCAAGATGATCCTAAGAACCACCATTTCCTGTGTGCCTACTTTATTTCCGAGCACTTAATACATATTTTCTGACTTAATCCTTATAGCATCCCTGAAAGAAAAGTATTATTCTCCCACTTTAGAGATAAGGAAACTGACTTGTTCAAGATCACAATGATACAAATGAATGAATTGAATTCAAAATTAGGTTTCTCTGAGATCAAAGTCCAAGTTCTTCTCACTATATGGCATGATCTCCTAAGATGGAAGAGATCTGCTCCCCATGAGTTTCCAGAAAATTGGTACAGTGAGGACACAGATTAAAGGACTTACATATCAATTCTCAGTAGAAATCTTGTTTTTTAGTCAGTCCAGGGAAAACTCTTGATGATATCAGTAAGACTAGTTTCAACTTTAGAAATATTTTTTGTTGAGCAACTACTAGACAGAGACCATGCATATAAATAGAGCCTCTACCAGCCTTTATTAAGGAATCTAGGCATGCATTCCACACAGATTACAGCACAGAAAGAGAACAAGTATATGATCAAAGTTATGAGCAAGTAAAGTGCTATGAAAGTAGGCAGCAACTGCAGCAATTAACTCAGTAAGGTTCAGAGAGGAGGTACACTCAGAACAGACGAGATGGAAGTTGGGTGTGTGTGGAAATACAGAACATCTCTGGGTAAGTGTGCATCTTGGTGTTCTCAGGGGAGGAGACCAGAGGAGAAGCTGAACAGGCAGGACGGGGCTAGATCACAAAGCGAAAAAGACTTAGAATGTGTTTTGAAGAAAAATAAGGATTTATCAACTATTTTTAATATATTATATATACCTATTTTTAAATTCATTCTGTGGGGAACCATGAAGACTTCTGAGTTGTGAGCAAGGAAGTAAAACATACACAGCTGAACTTTAAGGGGACTCCTGAAAGCAGTATCAGACTTTGGAATGGCAAGTGCATCTCTAAGATGTGATCAAGCAGCCCCAAAATCTGCCCCCAAGGTTTTTCCAAGAGTCACTGGGGTCTGACAGAGAATCTGTATTTCCACCCACTTTTTCACCAGCTCGATCTGGGACACCAGTTAGGTGATAGAAATTTCCTAAGTTTCAGATCCCTCATGTTTTTAATGAGGTCAAACTCAATAATTGCTTAAAACCACTAAAATGTCATGATTGATATTACCTATTTGTAGACACCACAGCACATGTGTCTTCCTATCATATCCAAGACCACCTGTATCTCAGTGTGGATTCAAATGATACAATTTATGAAAGGTATTTTTTAATGTATATATGTTAGGTAAATCAAGGTAAAGATTTCTTATTCTAAACCTACTTTGATTAAGTAATGCATTTCTGTCATAAAAACGTTATTCACCTTTTCCCCTTCCAAATTCCAGGGCTTTATCTTAACTAAAAACAGCAGCCAACTTTTTCCCAACTCACCTGCTTAGCAAAGAAAAATAATCTGTTGGAAGATACCCATAAATTTAATTTCTAACTATGATATAAAAACTAATGCTGTGTGACAAGCGTGACTTCACATTTCCACAACACCTAAATCAAGACCTGGGCACACAAGTTTCTTTAAGACCAATCAATTGAACTGCCTTCTGCGAACACAACCATTTCAGAAAGATGTCCTTCAAATGTGGCTCATCCACAGCTCATCGGGGTCAAATTGTTAGGGGGAAAGGATGTCCTGAGCAAACTCCATACAGCCTTTGTGGATGCCACCCATGCTCCATCAAGACACTGGGAACTACAAATCCCATGATCCCCAAAGGGAGAGTTGCGAGGACCTGAGGGCGGAGTTAAGCAGCCATTTTCTCTGTTTGGGTATTTAACTGGCCAGGTGAGTGGGGGCAGTTCTCTTGGATCCTGCTCTTGGCCAGGCAGCATTTGGTCTTGGTGGGTCATTTGGGATTCCAGGTCAGCAGAATGGGTAGGATGCTTTTAAGAATTTATCTCCCTCTTTTCTCCCTGAGTTGTTCATTTCCTCATTTCCCTTTCCCTTGTAAATAAACCTTTTGTTAATCTTTTGTGTGTGCCTGAAGTTTAAGTTCCGTTTAAGCATGCAGGTGAGGACCCACAGTCAGGCAACTCATTTTATATCGAGGTTGCCCTGTAACACCTTGGCGCCCAGCATGGCTTCCAAGATACACCCAGGGGTTGTCCTGTAACAGAATCAGGACCCCAGAATGAACAGGATAGCCCAAGGGGAAATAAAGGAGAAGGCAAACCTAAC